GCTGTGCTGGGCCCCGTGTGGGACCGTCTGTGGATTTTGCTCATCTTCCCCGAGGGCTGTGTGGGCAGCGTCCTGGGCGTGGGGCTGCAGCCAGCTGTCCCCGCCTGCCTGCGGGGTGATTGCCTCTCCTCCGTGGAGGCCGGCCCCACCCACATTCCAGAAGGGTGAGGGGTGCCCTCCTGGGCTCCTGCGTGCTCCCTAAGCTCTGACCCTGCTGAAGCCCACTCCCCTCCCCCGCCCCCCACCATGGCCAGGCACCCAAGGCAGCAGCTGGCTCCAGGGAGGGGCCGCAGGGTGGGCGGAGGACGAAGCTGGAATGTGTGCTGGGGGTGAGGGAGGGGGTGGCCAGCAGGGAGCAGCCAGTGGTGCAGGGTTGGGAGAAGGCAGGACAGCAAAAGAGATGTCGGGATAGAAGTAGAGAAAGGCTGGGCGGCCAGAGAGAGAGAGAGAGAGAGAGAGAGAGAGAGAGAGAGAAAGAGAGAGGAAGAAGACCCAGATGGACGGTGGAGGGAAACAGAGGCAGGCGCTGGCTGGCCAAGGCTGGAGAGCCACAGGTGACAGCCTCCCTTCCTCCACCACTGGGCCAGGCTGCTCCCCCATCCCAAGGGACATCAGAGGCTGCCAGTTCTCTGGCCTCCCAGGGCTGGCGGGCTAGGGGGTGGGGTTCCTGGGTTGGGCCCCACGCCCTTGGCCAAGGGGTGGTGGCGTCCCCAGCCTCCAGCGAGGTAACTCCCATTCCCATGGTGCCTGGAGAGGAGTGCGGGTGGAGCTAGGCCCAGTGGGGGCGGCTGTGCCCAGGGGCACTGGCTCAATCCCATCTCCCTAGTGGCTTCTGGCCAGGGACCCACCCTTAGCCACTACCCGACCGGCCTTTGGCATTTGAGAACCTTGGAGCCAGCTCTGAGCACCCATTGGGCCACCCCGCCATCCCCAGGAACTCCGGCCTCAAGCGGAAAGCCATGACCCTCAGCGACCTTCTGCCTGCCACAGCTGCTTCAGCATGGAGGAGCACTGACCCCCTGTGAGGTCACCACCCTGGCGCAGGTCCCCAGGACAGGCTCCCTCATGTCTTGGCTGCCACAGAGGCCCACGTGGCCAGCCCCTGCCCTGCCTCACCCCTCGACTTTCTTCCTGGCTGACCTCCAGAGGCCAGCCTTGGACCCAAGGTTTTGGCCGACACCTCCCCACCTGGCAAAGGACCACCCCGCCCCGTTCACTCTGACCGCTGCCCTAAGTGACACCTGGTCAGAGCTGGGCAGCTGGCGGCCACTTGGAATTCCTGCCCCCTAGGCCCTCACCTCTCCTGGATGGACTCCCAACCAAGTGCTCACACAACCTACTCTCCTCCAAATCTCCAGCCTGCCCCTAGCCAACACCTCCCTGTGGACTGGAAGCCGCCTTCGGGGCATGTCCTGGGCTCCTGGCCACGCTAACCACAGTTCCTTTCCCCAGGGCGAGGCTGCTAGGGGCCCGTCTGTCCTCCCCCCACACCCGGGCCAGGTGTCCGGCACTGTCCCAAATGCCCTGGCCTCTGTTCCCCCACCACCCCCGCCCCGCCCCGCCGCCCTGGCCCCATCTTGGTCCGCAGGTCACGGACTTGGGGATCGCCCCTCCAGGGTCGTTGGTTTTTTTTCTCCAACTCGACTCCCCACACACGCTTTCAGGTTTCTGGGCCTTTGCACACGCCTCGTCCCTCGCCTGGGGCACCCGTCCCCTCTCCCTCCAACCCTCGGTGAACTCCTATTCCTCTGGCAAATCCTCAGCGACCCCGTCCCCAGCCTGGGGGGCCGCAGGTCATGGCCTGGTCTGGCCCTGGCTCGGGGCCTTGCAGGTGGAGGGGCAGCAGAAAACGCGCGTGCGTGGGAGCAATTGCAGGCGAGCGCGCCGCGCCGGGGGTCCACGTGCGGCGCCCCCTCTTCCGTTCTGCCCGCCGCCGCCAGCCGCGCGCCGCGTCTCCGCCCCCAAGTAAGCAGGCGCGCGGGGAGGGCGGGGCCGTGAGCCTCCGCGCTCGCGCTTGCGCACTCGGGCGGCCCGCCGGAGTCCCGCCTCTGCGCGGCCCCCTCGTGCTGCTATTGGCGCGCGCAGATGAGCGAGCCGTGTGGCCACCAGTGAGGCTGCCCCGAGGGGTGGACCGGGCCTGGGTGGTCCGACGCGCGCGGACGGGGGCGGGCGGCGCCCTCCTCGCGGTGACGTCAGCCTCCTTTAACCCTGCGCGTTGCCCTGGAAACCGCGTTTCCATCCCCGCGGGTTTCCGGGGGCCGCCCCCTCCCATTCAGCTTTTTCCTCAATGGGGGGAGGGAGCGGTAGGGACGATCCCGCCCCCTGAGACCCCGTGGCCTCCACCCTCTCTGCGCCTCAGTTTACCTTTCCGTGCCTCCGCCCCGAGCTCCACCCCTACACCCCCACCCCACAGGGCACAGCCTGGACCCCTCGTACCCTCAGCCTGGGGGGGACAGCGTGCTCAGGGGCGGGGTCTCCAACCTGCGGGGCGCAGACACAGCCCCTGTGATTCAGCAGGTGCGCGGACGACATCCTCCTTCCTCGTTCCCTACCCAGCCCAGGGAGGAGGCGGCGACTTGGGTCGCGCAGGCCCCAGCCCTGACCCACGGGGGCGGGGGCTGCAGGTGACCGGCGCTCCGGACCCCACGGGGACGTTCGCACCCGCTGACACTGAGCCTGACGGGGCCTTCCTGCCGTGGGCGGGGATGATTTGGGGTTGACTGGTGTTGGGAGGGGCAGCGGTGCCTCAGGAAGACGCCCCCAGGCCACCCTTGGAGGGGACGTGTCCCCTCCCCCTTGGGATCCTGGCGCTGGGGCCTGGGAGGGCAGAGGCTGGAGCCATCAGAGGTCAGATGAGGGACAGAGGGCACATAATTTTGCAAACACCCCTAGTCCTCCGGGCCAAGCGATGTTTTTCTTGAAGCCTCTGTTTTCTCGTCTATAAAATGGGAGTATAATTACTTCTAACCCTTAGATTGCAGTGCTTAATTGAGGAAATACATGTTTTAAAAAAAAGGGGACATAAGTAGTATGATTGCCCCAAAGTGGAAGGTGAGGCCTCAGAGAGGGCTCAACCCTGGCTGGGTCCCTGGGGAGCCCCAGGCTGGGAGCTGAGAAGGGCTGGGGGCAAAGGACTGGGCGGGGTCTGGGCGACCCAGGACGTGCAGGGGTGGGAGGTGCAGCCTGGGGAAGTTCCCAGGCTGAGCGGTGGAGAGGGGCGTTCCAGGATGGGGCACGGCTGGGGCAAAGGCCTGGAGGGCTGAGGCATGACCGTCAGGGCTGGGGAGCACTGGAATGCAAAGCCAGGGCGTGGCCTAAGAGGGGCCAAGGGAGAGGTCACCCAGGGCGGGCCCAGTGATCTCCCTGCAGCAAGCCGGACCGTGGTGAGACTCCAGGAAGAATAGTGGGTGGGTCTGGCAAGGTTGGAGCCGCCTCCCAGGCCCTGAGCGGGTGGTCTGATCTCCAGCAGAGTTTCATGTCCTCGACCCACAGACCCACAGCCCACTTCACAGGGCCGGGACTGGGAGAGGGCACCTAGCAGGCGGGCAGGCCCTGAGGGACTTCCGGCCTCGGGTACCAGGAAGTGGCTGGGCGCCTCCCGCCCCCACCCCAGCAGCTTCCTGCCCACCCCCAAGCCGGGGAGGGGGCGTGGGAACTGCCCAGCCCTTGGCCCTGGTCTCAGGGCTCTTGGAGATGGGCACCTTCCAGGCCCCCATTCTACCCTGCCCCCCTCCACGATGCCCGTGTGGCAAGACCCCCCCGCGCAGGTAAGAGGCGGGACATTCACTTGTGTTTCATTTTCTGTTTATTACTTGAAATCACGGTGCTTGTGTAGGTTTTCTTTTTCGATTTTATGTTTTCATACAGGAAACTCACGCGAGGTGCCGGGGAACCCCCCAGCCCGACCCCCGAGGGCGGGTAATGCTTTCTTGGGGGTAGCCGACAGGGCAGAAGGGGTCCGGCCGGTTCCCGCCTGGGGCCTCCACCCTCGACCCGCGGAGGCACAGACGTAATTTAAAAATCGTTAAAAAACAAAACAGAACACACATTTAAATAGGTATCCAAGACAGTTCTTCAAAAAAACAAACCCGCCCCTTTTTTCTCATCTTTTTTTTTTTTTTTTTTTTTTGGAAAAACAAAAACAAAAACAAAACCAAATCCATGACTTCTACCCTCTGGGATCCCTCCCTGCCCACCCCCCCACAAAAAAATTTACAGAGCTACAGTTATAACACATGATGTTCACATCTGAAACCATTAACTTTAAACACATAACGGGGGGTGTGAGGACCTGGGGTTCACCTACAAGAACGAGGGGGGGGACAGGCGGGGCCAGGACAAGACTGACAGGCGGGTGGGGCAGGGCCCAAACGTCTCCATGATCATTTAAAAAATAAAAAGTGAATGGGGAAAAAAACCTAAAAACTCTACCCCCATTGAAATGGCCCCAGCAAGCGGATGTCCCTGTCCCGGGCCAAAGACCCCCCCCAGGGCATGGGCACTGAGTGGGGAGGGTCCAAGTTAGACGAGCAGCGGACTCCCCCCCCAGGGGGGTTAATGCTACACAGCGTTGCCCCCTGCTCAGGGGATTCACAGCTCAGCACCCCCTGCCTGCCCTGGCCACAGGGGAGGCCCCACATCCGGGGTAGGGGTCGGGGTTGGGGGGCCTCGCACCAGCCCCAGCCATTCTCTCCCAGTTTTTGAAGAGATCCCCAACCACTATTGGCTCAGTCAGAAAATTAATAGTCTATAAATACCCCAAGCTCAGGCAGGTCAGAAAAAAAAACGGGGGCGGGGGCAGAGGAAATAGCAAGGTGGTGGTGGTGGTGGCTGCTGGGCCAGGGCTGGGTGGAGGGAGCTCTGTCCCCCTAGCTTCCTTTCCTGGCAGGAAAGGGTCCCACGTCCCCCCACCCAAACCCAAGGCAGCCCCCCACCAGCCAGCCTCTGGGCTGAAACAGCTTTGCTTTCCTTTTTAAAGAAAAAAAAAAAAAAAAAAACAGGAAAATGGACAAAGAGGCCCAGAAGAAAAAACAGACTAGAAGTGGAAGAGAAAACAGTCCCCTACTTGGCTTCGGGGACCCAGTAGGGCCGCAGGGCAAGTCTGCTGTTGCAGCCCAGGGGGTCCTGCTGGCCTGGGGTGGAGGCCAGAAGTCTGCAGTGGGGGGTGGGATGGGTCCTCCTCTCCCGGGCCCCCTCCCCTGTCTGTAAAGTGCTTCATGAGGCATCTACATTTTTGACTTAAAACCTGAATCGGGTGTGGGGGGAGCAGAGCGGAAAGGGGTGGGGGCGGTCTCCTCAGTCTCCTGCTCTCAGCCATCTGGAGAGACTGCTACATATTTGGAGCTGGAGAAGGTGGGCGGGAGGACCCGGCACGCAGGCCAGGGGGAGCTGAGGAGGCGCCCAGGAGCTGGGGTGACGCGAGGGGAGGAGGGGCGTCGGGGGTGGGACAAGGAGGTAGGAAGCCAAGTCCATGGGGAGTTCGGAAAACCATGGTTAAGAATTTAAAAAGAAAACAAAGAAAGGCTTCTGGCTGGTGGGGGGAGTGGCCACCTGCCCTCCAGAGCTGGGCCGTGTTCTTGGCAGGGCTTGGGGCTCTTGGCATCCCCACCGCCCTGGGCTGGGGGGTTTGAGGGGCGAGGGTAACCGATCCTAGGCCACCACGAACTCAGACTTGATGTCGGGGTTGACTTCTGGCTTCCAAACGGAGTCCTCGAAGTCCAGGCCCAGGCCGGCAGCCTCGGTGGAGCTGCTGCCGCCCCCGCTGCTGCTGCTGTCGCTGCGGCCGGCCTTGCGGCTGGGTGGCCAGTGGTACGGGCCCCGGGCGTCTCGCCGGGCCTTTCTGCGGAGCCTTTTCTGCTGCAGCAGCAGCTGCAGACGTTCCACCTTGCAGCGCGTGGCGCGGTTTTCCGTCTGCCGGAGCCGGTCCCCTGCAAAGGAGGTAGTGACCCGTGACTCAGAGAGGCCTGACACCCCTTCAGATACGGAGGGCCCTCGGGACATGCCCGCAGTCAGGCAGAGTCCCTGCCAGCCTGGACACCTGTGCCAGCGAGGGTGCCAGGCAGGGGCATCCACTGCACCTCGGGCGGGCCGCTCACGCCGGGGCAGCCACGCACTTATTAATGGTTTACGCGGCTCCGCTGTGAGCCAGGAGACGGGCCTGGCCTGTCTCAAGAAAGGTGCTTTGGAAATGGTCGTGGAATAAACAAACTGGAATTTGAACCCTTGTGGCTGCTTCTGTGACATAAGCAGAGACATTGAGGCTTGTGCCTTGGTTTCCTGCTGTTATGAACTGGGCTACAAAAACCTCTCGATGGCTGGGGCGCCCACAGGGCGGCAGCGACCGTCATCCCACAAGACTGGATGGGGAGCAACCCTATCATTGTGGGGGGAGCTTTCTTGCTTTCCGAAGTCCCCCAAATGCTGGGGGTTGGGGAAGGGCTCTGGCTCCCACCTCAGCCAGCCAGGCCTGACTTGGCCATTCATAAAGGCTCCAAATGCCATCTGGAGATGTGCCCTGGGGGGGCCAGGAGGAAGTGGGGCTGGAGCCCCCTTGGGAGCTCACAAGGACACTTTGTGCCCCGACACACACGCCTCCTTCTCTCAGGGCTGCAGCAGAGCAGGGGTAGAGGCAGCTGCTGGCCCCCCACCCCTCGCAGGCGGGTCAGCTGCTCACGCGCCCACCGGCTCACACAGAGAGCCCTTGAGAAGCAGGGGGACGGGTGGGGACTGTGGGACCCTGAGGGCAGCCACTCACCCGGGGGCTTGCACATGCGGATCTGGCTCTGGCCCTGGAGCAGGGAGGCTGGGGGCGCCGCCAGCTTCTCACAGGAGGTAGTTTTGGGGGCGAGGTCAGGGGCCGCTGCGCACTGGGCGTGGCAGCGGAGTTGGGTCAGCGAGGGGGGCATGCCCTGGTAGTGCCTCGTGGCGCTCAGGAGGTCATTGAGGATCTGCAGGATTGTGCCGATGTCCCGCCGCGGCCGCCCGCTGCTGTCCTGGCAGTTGGGGTGCAGCGTGCCTGCGAGCAGAGGGGGCCATGAGTGCTGGCGTGTGCACGGTCACGCAAGTACGGGCGTGAGTGAACACACGGATGGGGGTCCACTTGTCAGCTTAGAGAGCCTGATGGGCGTGTGGTCACACGAGTGCAAGTGGGACCACCGGGCGGGAATGGGACACACACCCACGTATGTGGACACTTGGCCTCACGTGTGGGGTCATGTGTGTGCATGGAGATTCCTAGGGGAGAGGTGACACAGGGTCATGCCTGTGTCCTCAGAGCATGGGTGTAACTGCCTGCGGGAGGACATGTGACCTCAAGGGCACAGGGTCATGGGATACATGTGGGGTCATGGGTGTGCTGTGACACCTACCAGAGAAGGTCCCTGAGAAGACCCCTGGGGCGTGGTTCACAAAGCTCTCGATGACGGCACCGGGTTTTCGGGAGCGGGGGGTTGGGCTGCCCCCCGGGGTGGACGTGGCGTTGGCACCAGGGCTGACACTGCTGCTGGCAGGTGGGGAACAGTCCATCTGCTGACAGAGAGAGGCACATGTTAGCTGGGGGCCAGGGTCAGGGCATCACCGCCAGTCCAGAGTCTAGACAACCCGCCAACCCAGGGTCATGGCGTCACCCACCAGCCCAGAGTGCCCAGGGTCTAGACAACCCACCAGCCAAGAGTCTAAACAACACACCAGCCCAGGGTCTAGACAACCCGCCAGCCCAGAGTCTAGACAACCCGCCAGCCCAGGGTCTAGACAACCCACCAGCCCAGGGTCAAAGGATAACCCATGACATGAGGAAGGCACCTGGGGCTCAGAGCTGTGAGGACCGCCCTTGGCAGACTCACCTCGGGGCAGGTGGGGGAGGCTGTGTGGGATCGGAAGGAGCCGGCTGTGACAGGGGAGGGGGACGAGGGGGATGGGCTGCTGGGCACTGGAGGGACGCGGGCAGCACTGGATACTGGCCGGCATGGAGAGGCCACGGGGGTGGTGATGCTGGGGTCCCCTCGGGCAGCAGCAGCCGCAGCGGCTGCAGCGGCCAGCACGTGGCGGTGTTGCAGCGGGGCGTGCTGGGCAGCTAGCTGCAGCTGGACGAACATCATGTGGTCACCCACTCGAAGTGCCAGTGTCAATGGTGAGCGGCCTGACAGGAAGTCACTGACCTGAAGAGAAAGCGGGTCCGTGAGCCTGGGGTTCCAGCCTGCTGCGCCCCCAGCCCGGCCCGGCCCAGTCCCCCCGGCGCTGTGTGACCTGGGGCCTCTCGCCGCCCCTCTCTGGGCTCTGGGGTCCCTGTCGGTGCCACGGACGCTTAAATAAAATGAATCTGTATTTCCGGAAGCCTCCTCCGCCAGCCCGGCCCGGCCCGGGCGCCGCTGGGGGCTGTGGGGGACAGAGGCGCGTCAGACGGGGGGCCTGGCCCTCCCTGGCCTACTTGGTTCTTTCAAGGGGAAACTGAGGCCAGAGGGGGCGGGGTCCAGCTGGCAGTCACTGACCTCAAATAACCTTTACCTCACCTTTTCCCGTCCTCTCCAGCCCCCAAATCCTCTCAGCCTGTGGATATGGGAGGGGGACCAATCGCAGGCCCCTTCACAAGCTAAGCCACCAGGCCAGCGAGTGGGCGGAATTCCTGGACAAATTCTTCCGTCCTAACCTTTGCTTTCTCAAGATAAATATTTATCTGTCCTGGGCGGGGCAGAGGCCGAGGGGGCGGCGGCATTGCTGCAGGAAGGGGGCCCTGACCCGTCCCTGGGGCCAGAGTCTCCCGGGACCTCAACATGCCCTGATGAACATCAACCCTCCCATCGTCAGCCCCCGTCGTCGGCCCCCTCCACGGTGGGCCGTGGGGTGTATCTGACCCTGCGCTCACTGAGCCCCCTGCTCTGGGGCCTGGCCAGCGCCTTGTTCTCCCCAGGGGCCGGGAATGGGGGGGGGGCGGAGGTTTCTGAGAAGTGACACAAGCCAGGATGACTCAGAACCGACCGCCTCCCAGCGCTCCCTCCCAGTGCTCCGCTGGCAGCCGCTGGCGTAACCTTCTCTGCTTGGGGCCCGTGGGGAGGGGGGCAAGGAGGCAGGAAGGGTGCAGCCTCCACCCCGAGGCCTAGTCTGCACAGCCCCCCGTCCCAGAGACACCTCTTGCAGGAAGGGCCTGGGGTAGCTTCCCGAGAGCAGCTGGGGTACCCCCCCACCCGCCCTGCAACTTCCTCCCTGGGGAGGGCGAATGGGCGGGCATGACTCGGTGCCAGGCGGGGAAGCAACCCTGGGGAGCCCAGTCACTCCGCCCAGTGCCCCCCCAGCTCCCTCCTGACGCAGGCGCCGGGGAGGATGTGAACCAAACACGCCCTGGGCCCCCCTGCCAACCGCAGCCCCCCAGTGGCCAAGAGCCCTGTTCACACTTGCTCCAGGAAATCACCTGCAGCCCCCACCTGGCTCCCGGGACACCGGCTCCCCCCACCCCACCGCCACCCCTGCGATGGCAGACCACCCAGCTCCTGCTGCCCCCTCCCTGCTTCCTCCTCTGCACTGCTTGCTGAGGGCAGGATGCTACATGTCGGATGGCAGAGGGGGCGAGGGCCTGGGGCAGGAGGAAGGGAAAAATCTGCCACCAAAGCTGTGGAGCAGGTTTCCTGTGGCCAGGCCGGGGAGGCCCAGGAACCTGCCCACCCCCTCACCAGGGCGGGCAGCTGCCTGCTTCCCCCACCCTGGCACCCGGTGGATTGCTGAGGCCTGTGTCACCCTCCTGGGAGGTGGCCAGGGCCCTCGTCTGAGGAAGGCCCTACCACCGCCAAGAAAATGAGGAAAGGAGGAGGGAAGAACAACAAAAAAAGGGCAACAAAACCGGGAACCGGGTGCGGGCCAGCCCCAGCCTTCAGCCCCAGCCTCCCTTCTGGCTGGTTACTAAACATTTTCCTAACATCCTGTCTAGGCTTTGCTGCCCTAAGGCCAGGTGCCCCCACCCCCTCCTCTTTTCGGGGCAGAGAACAAAGGCCAGAGAGGAGGAGGAGGGGAGGGGAGGTGATGAGGTCCCCACCCTCCACAATGGGGTCACAGAAGGCGGAAGAAGTGTCACCCAGGCGCCCCTGCCCCCCATCAGCAGAAACGAAAAAAAGGAGAAACCAGCTTTGGGGAAGCCGCAGTGGCCTGGGGGGGGGCGGGCTCCACAGTGGGGGCATACAGAACTAGGGACACAGGTCCCGGGTGTGAGCTGTGGGCCAAGGTCACCCTGCAAGCAGGCTTGTGAAAGCCCGGTCTCCTCCCCGCCATGGCAGCCACCGTGGGAGAGAAAGCCCTCAAGGTCAGGTGGTGAGTGCTGGGGGCAGAGAGGAAGCACAGTGACCAGGCCAGGCTGGCACCAAGGTGGGGTGGCAGCCCCTCTCCTCCCCCATAGGCCTTCTGGGTGCACAAATACCCCCAGGCTCTCTAGAGTGACTAGGAGGTGCCCCGTGCCCTGGGATTGCCCCCTCAGGTCAGGAAAGGGCTGGCGAGGTCTTACCTGAGTCTCGGTCAAACTCTCTAGGGCTTGCATCACAGACTGCTCCGGCCGTGAGGCCTGAGACTACAAAGAGAGGGTGGGGAGAAGGCACCTGAGTGCAGGTTCCCAGCCCTGGGCTCAGGCTTCAGGGTGGGGAGGGCTCTGCTGGCTAGGGTGGGCTGCCCTGCAGGGGAGGGGGCCCCAGTGTGTGCGGGTGGCCTGTGGGAGGGGGCTGCCTGCCCGTGTGGGGCCGGGGCACACTGCCCCCCAGCCATTTACCATCAGGCCGGCTTCCACAGTGGGGACCAAGGTCAGCTTGCTGCCATCACCCACGCCGAGCTCCTGCAGCTTCCCCGAACTGAGCCGGCTGGGGGGGGGGGGGAAGGAAGAGGATGAGACTCCGCGGAGACAACACAGGGACGCGGAAGCGGAGGCCGCGGGGGAGGGCTGTGCTTGGGTGGGGGGAGAACAGAGAAGTCGCTCCCACCCCCACCCCTTCCTGGCTTCCAGATCCAGGGCCCTGAGCCTGTGGAGAGGGCTGTGTCTGGCCCCGGGAGACCCCGTCCTGGCAGCTCAGAGCCTTTCTCCCCAGGAAGCCCCAGCTCTGGACTCTGCCACCCCCTTTGCACCTCGACAAGACACTCTGTCATCCTCTGGGCCCCGGCGTGCCCTTTGCCCCCCTACTCTGCCCCCACAGGGCAGCCCCTGACTGCAACCCCCAAACCCCAGCCCTGGGCTCCTCTCCGTGGGCGCCGGGGGCCAAGGAGAGGCCTTCAGGGGCTGCGCGGCCGGGCTCCCCCTCCTCCCTCCCTCCCTCCCTGGCGCGGGCCGCCGCCTCTCAGACAAAGGAGACCCTCCCCCTCCCGCCCCTCCTCCACAGGGGCCCCTCCGCTGGGGATGGACACTGCGTGTCCCCGGAGGCCCGCGGGGGGAGGGCTCCCCGGCCTAGAGGCGATTTAAATACCAGGGGGGAGGGAGAGGCTGCGGGGAGCGCTCGATGGCTAGAACAAAGGGGGGGAGAGAGACGCAAAGGGGGAGACAGCCAGACGTAGGGGGACCGCCGAGCAGACACGGAAGCCAGCGAGGACGCGGCAGAAAGGGGGCGATCGCGGCCCCCACTCCCGCAGCCGGGACACCCGCGCCACCCTGGGGTTTCTGCCTTCCCCCAGGGGGAACCGCTTAAGCCCGGCCCGGGACGCCCTCGCAGCAGCCTTTGTGCGGAGACCCCGGGCGGGGGAGGGGGCCGAGGCAGGCAGGGGCCGAGCAGAGGGCGCCCGAGAGCGCGCGGCGCGCCCCCGCCCCCCGTCTGGCCGCCCCCTTCCTTCCCTGCGCGGCGCGCTCTTTGTTCCCGCCCCGGGGCCCGGGCCCAAGGGGTTGGCCGGCTGGGGGGCGCGGGAGCCGCGCGGTACCTACGTGTCTTTGTGGAGCAGCGCCAAGCGTTCCTTCGGCACTTTGAGGCGTTGGGACAGCCGCCTACGCAGTCCTTCCACCGTCTCGTCGGGCGGCACCGACAGATCATAGCGGGTGCCGGTCGTGCTGTGGATGGCCAGGCTCAGGGGCGCCGCCTCGGCCGCCGGGCCCAGATCGCAGGCGCCGCCGGGGGCCCCGCGCCGGCAGCTCCGGGCGCCGCCGGGCTGCGGCTCCATCCCCCGCGCGCGCTGGGGCTTGGGGTCCGCGGGGCGCCGCCAATCCTCGCCGAGCCCCGGGGCAGGGGCGGGGGCTGCCCAGAGCCCGGGTCCGCGGCGCGCTGGGGGGCAGTGGGCAGCGCGCGTCCGCTTCGAGACCGTCCCGGCGGTGGGGGGCGAATCCGGAATCCAAATCCGAGCGGCGCTCCGGTTCGCGTCGGCTCCTCCGGGCACCTTCCGGGGGTGGGGACGGCACTCGCGGCTCCTTTAAAGGGCGACGGGCACGACCGAGACGCGGTGCGGGGGAGGATCTCGGGGAGGGGGCGCCCCTCGGCCGGTCGCGCTCGGTGCTGTCCACCGCTTGGGTCGCGCTTCCCCGCGCGTCCCCTCCCTTGGCAACAGCCGCCGCCGCCGCAGCCGCCGCTTGGAGGATCTGGGGGTGAAACTAACAAGAAAAAAAAGTTATAATGTATCAACGTTCCAAGGGGGCGGGGCCGCCGCCCCCTCCCATTCACTACTTACTCCGCCGGCCCCGCGCCGGCCAATCGGCGCGCGCTGAACACCCAGTCGGCCACGCTCCCTGGCCAATGGGAGGCGCCGCGGCGCGGCCCCACGTGGCAGCGAGGCCTGCCCCTTCGCCCCGCCCCCGGCGCCCGGGCGACCAAGGGGAGCGCGGCGGGGGCGGGGCTGGCGCCGCTCCGGGCCCACCCCCGCGCCCCGCCCGCGCCGCGAGCCATTCATAAGGCCCGGAGCCCGCAACAAAGGGCGGGCGGGCCCGAGGGGCGCGGGACCCAGCACAGGGACCGGAGCGGCCCGGCACGGGGCGGGGGCGGCGCGAGCCATTGTCCCGGCGCCGGAGGAGCAGGAAGTCGAGGGGCCGCCCCGCCACGTCCGTCCGGGAAGCAGCCGGGCGCGGAAGCGGGAGCGGGTTGCCCGCGCCTCGTGGCCGGTCCCGGGCTGGGCGGCTCGCGGGGACGCTCCTGCCCGTCGGTCCCTCCCGGTGGGCGTGGAGGTCCGGGCGGGGCGCCTGCACCTTGGTGACGTGGCCGAGCCCGCTGGTGCCGGGAGGACTTCTCCCGCGCCGGTGCCACCTCGCGTTCCAGCCCCCACCCCTTGTCCCCGGGCAGGGCCCGTTTTCCGAGACGCGCCCGCCCGAGCGGTGACGTGACGCGGCGTCCCCGGCTGCGCCCGCGCGCGCCGCTCGAGGTTGCGGTGAGTCAGCAGCGCCGGCGCGCCCTCTGCCGGCCCCTCCCGGGAGCGCCGCCCGAAGTCCCGGGGAGGGGGCGCCGCGCTGCCCAGGCTGGGGAGGAGGCGACGGGACTGCGGGCAGGGGGGAACTCCGATAGGGGACAGAAGACTCTAAGTCCAGAGCCTGGCACTGCCCGGCCTGGGAAACTGAGGCTGGACCGGCAACTAGTTCAAGGTCACTGGCGGGGAAGGGGGAGTGCCCCGTGGGGGCGGGGCGGGGGCTGAGGTCTGGCCAGGGCGGTGCTGGCTGCTCGGGGCCCCTCCCACCCCACACCCTGGTGGGCTTCCCAGAGTCGGAGGCATCCCGAACCCTGCTGCCCCAAGAACAAAGAAAAGTGGGGGCACCCTGAACAGTCTAGAGTGAGGACCCCCTCCTCGGCCCGCGCGGTCCCGTCGCCCACTCACCGGGCGTGGCCAGTCCTAGGTCCCCGCAGTCCTGAGAGTGTACCCGCGTCCGGGGCCGAGTGCGTGCTGGCCTGGCCGGTCTGGGGCCGAGCGGGCGGCCCCCGAGCCTTTATCCGCGCCGCCTTCCCTCGGGGTGGAGTTTGGGCGGGCAGGGGGCGGGGGACCGGGCGGGCAGTGACGCAGCTGGCCCCCGCCCCTGCCTGCCAGCCAGGGCCCTGGGGCTCAATAGGGCATGGGCCACCCGGCCCCTGGACTTCTCCCAGTAAATGGGGGGGCGCCCCTTGAATGCCACTGAGCGGAGAGTCTCCGTGTTCTCGGATGCACCCCAAGTCGGCCACCGGGTCTGGGTACCCGGCCCACTCCTTGCCCCGCCCCCTTTCCTGCTGCCCTAGGCCTGGTGCTTCTGCGTGGGGGACAGGAAGGGGGGCCTGAGTCAGCGGCTGCCGTCCAGGAAAACAGGCCGGAGTCACCTGCCGTGGAGTGGGGGTGCCCGGCCAGCTGCCCAGCAGCCTGACCTTCTGCATCCCTTAATGGTGACCTCAGAGGGCGTTTAGGGAGCGATTTGCCTGTGCCAGGCCTGCCTTGTTCCCTGCCAGTCACCAGCCAGCTACGCTGTGTGACATCAGGAAGTTATTGACCTCTCTGAGCCTCTGTTTCTCAGGGCTGGGGAGTGGAATGACAGAGCGTTGCAGGGCTCACTCTGGGGCCTTGCTCCATTAGTGCACCCTCATATGCTGGTACCCTGCCTCTGGGGTGGGCATAGTCACCCACTTTACAGACAAAGGAACTGAGGCCACACAGCCAATGACGCAAGAATGGGGGGCACACTGGGTGGGGTGGCTTCCCAGGAAGCCTGCCCCCTCTGCTCAGAGAAGGGGGACCCCAGGCTCTACCCTAGCACCTCCTGTCCACTTATCTTGTTCCTTCCTTTATCTGTCATGACCACCACCGTCCCCACCGTCACCTGGGTGCTCCTCCCAAGGCTGTGCTCCCTCCTGCTCCCACCCAAGGCTCCCTGCAACCTCTGGCCTCCACCTTGACACAGGTGCACCCAGGCACCCCAACCCTGCAGGGTCAGGGCTGGGCCAGAGAGAGAGGCTAGAAGCCTTGGAGAGGGGATACAGGGGCTGGGGTTTGAGGGATGAATGGAAGTTTGTCATAGAGGATGGTTCTTCAGGAAGTGGGAACAGCTTGCACATTGAGCTCTGGGAGCTCAACAGACAGAACTGGAGGGCAGAGAGGCAAGGTCCGGTGCTGGGGCCAGGCTGAGGGGCTGAGGGGCTCTAGGTGGCGTGACCTGCTGGGCCAGCTTTGTTCTGCTTCCTGAGAGAACAGAGGTGGCAGCTGGAGCTGTGGGCTCTGGAACCCAGAACCTCCAATGTTGGCGGGCAGTCTGGGTGGGGCGGGGGCTTCCCTGACCAGCCCCCTACCCTCTTGCTCCTCTAGGCAGGTGGCATGAAGCGGGGGATCACCGTTGGGGTGGGCAGGACTCTGCAGCCCAGAACCGTAACCTGCTGGTTGGGAGTGGAACGAGACACACAGGGCTGTGGGGACATGCTGGATGCTGTGGCAAGAGGGGGTCACTTGGTGGCATGGAACTGCAGCCCTTTGGGTACAAGATGCTCTGGATGGTCAGAATTAATAAACGTATTTCCCAGTCCCCATGGCTGAGGCGTCTGTTCCCAGGTGTGAGAGGGGACCAAGAGGAGGCACTGAGTGGACCTTCCTGGGATGGGGACAAACCCTCGTGCTCTGTCCTTCCCTGCTGAGCCCAGGGCCTGTCCTCACGGAACGGTCTTGACCTCTTGGTTCCTGAGCCCCTGCCCCAGGATGCGCCTTGCCAGCACTGCTGTTCCTGCAGGATGATGTCAGGGCTGGCATCCTGAGACCCAGCTCAAAGGCTCACACCTCCCCCAGGGCTGGGGACAGGGTCGCCGGTGTGGGGCATGCTGGCCCAGGCCAGGGACAGGCTCCTCCTGCTGGGCCCCTGCCAAGCCCCAGCTGTGTCCTTGGTCTTATTTATAGGGCCCCACAGCCTGGCCAGGACCTGGGCTCGGAGCCGGGGGACGGTAGGGGGGGCCCTGGGCAGGGAGGCTGAACTTGGGATCTCATGGCCAGCACCACCTTCCCTGGGCCAGGTTCCTGGGAAGCAGGGGACTGGCTACTTGCCCCTCAGGACCAAGGGGAGCGGGCCCCGGACAGGGGGCCATCCCACAACAGTCACCTGATCTGCTGACAGGCTGCCCCACCCAGCTGGGAGTACGCCTGGAGGCCCCCCCAAGAATCCACTCAGCTCTCACATCCATGCCTTGCATGTGGCCACAGGGAGTCACTCACATGGGACCATGACACACACATGAGCTGCCTGCCTATGCTGACAAGCCTTGGTGACACAGGCAGGCCCCAACTCTCCACATACTCACCTCCCTGGAATCCCCTCCCCAACCCACCCTGACAGCCCTGTCCCAGGGAAGGGAGGAGCGGCAAGGAGACCCCTGCCCCAGCGGCTGCCTACAACTCCCTGGGGCTGGTGCCAGAGCCGCCCCCTGGGCTTGCTGAAGAGAGGTGGGGCAGTGCCAGGGAGCCACCCCCTCCTAGGCCCGCCCCACCCCATCTAGGGCCAGCCCAGAGGCCTGGGTGCCACGGAGGTGCCAACACCACTGGGGATTAGGCACTTGGCCAGGCCGGGGCCACTCACAGGCCGGCATGCACAAAGTGGGGCCCGCCTCTTCCCAGGGTGGCTGGGGCGGGGCTGCAGAGAGCTTGGCGTTGCCGCCCCATCACAGCACCAGGCCTGGGGACCAGGAAGCCGGCACAGGCATCTCCCTAGTGCCCCCGACCTGGCCCCAGGAGTGGCGGCTGCTCCCCCTCCCTGCCCATGTCCCCAGCCCTGGCTGAGGACCTTTGCCCGTCCCCACCCTCTGGGGATGAAGGCCAACACTCTGCCCACTGCTTGCCCGGCTGCACTCCTGCTGAGCTGCCCGTATCTGACACACCAGTCTTGAGCCCTCCCAGGAGCCCTGGGGACCTCTTGGGCCAGGGCACTTAGTCGCTGGAGGTTCAGAGGCTCTGTCTCACCGTGAGGCACAGAAGGCGAGGCGAGAGGCCCAGAAAGGTCACACCGCCCCAAACAGGAGTGACAAACCACGGAACACAAGTCAGGCTTCCTGGTCTTTAATGGGGGCGTGGGCTGAGGGAAGGTCACCTGTGGAGGTGGCTCCGGAGCACAGAGGTCCCAGCAGCAGGCTCTGCAGGGCACAGGGGTGGTGTCAGGCCCATCAGGGTGGGGGTGACAGACCCAGCCCCCAGGCCTGCCAAAGCTGGTGAGGGGCTTGTTCCCCCTGTGGTCTTGGGCACAGGGGCAGAGCCCCAGGCAGGGTCAGAAGCCTGGGCTGCACTGCCCCCTGGTGGCCTCCTTGGCTCCCCCAAGACGATGCTGGGGTTTGCTGGCCCCTGCAGACAGCCTGGACCCCAGGGAGCTGGTTCCACCTGCTGAAGACATCCCCTCTCAGCTGCAAGCCTTGGTTTCCCCGCTGATGAGGGGCACGCACAGACCGCCTACTCCAGGGCCTTCACCAAGGCCTCATTGGCCTCGATGCGGATCTGGATCTCCGCCCTCGCAGCCTCGTCCGCAGCCCCCGACAGCTCCGCCTGCGCCTTCTCCAAGTTCGCCTTGGCTGCCTGCAGGTAGTGGTTAGGGGCTGAGGGCAGAGCAGGGACCCCAGCCCAGCACCTGCTTCTCCACTGGGCTGCCTCCCCAGTAGCCAGGGAACTCTTGGACAGCTCCCACCCATTCTGCGCCTCAGTTTCCCCTCCGACACTCACCCCCAGGTCCAGCATGTCCAGCGTCACTGCCTCTTCGGCCAGTAGCTGCACCGAGGAGTCGGCATTCACCGTGATGGAACCACTACTCACTGTGGAGGGAAGACATGACACCCCACATCCAGGCAGGTGGCCTCGGCACCCCCTGCTGAGCTCCACACACCCCCAAATCTGCATCCTGGGTGCACTAACAGTCACTGGCCAAGGGTGACCCCCACAGGACTGGCCCTAGTGCCTAGCACACGGGGAGATATCTGAAGAAAAAGGAGGCTGCCCCAGAACACACATGGGACCAGGGGGTCACTAGAGGCCTCTGCTGGGGAAAGAGCCCCCTCCCCCTCCAACCTATCAGCCCAGGAGCTGAGCTAGTGTCAGGGGCAAAACCATGCTGGGCTTGAACCCTGGTTCTACCACGGCAGACAAGTGATGCTGAGAACAGCTTTCTTAGAATCGCTTTCTTCCCCTACAAATGCCCTCCACCAAAATCGACTGCCCCTCTCCTGCACGTTTTCTTTATTTTTTGTTTTTTCTGAGATAGGGTCATGCTCTGTGATCCAGGCTGGAGTGCACTGACTCGATCACAGCTCACTGCAGCCTCAAACTCCTGAACTCAAGCGATCCTCCTGCCTCAGCCTCCCAAGTAGCTGGGACTACAGCCACCACCATGCCCAGCTAATTTCTTTCGATTTTTTGTGAAATCGCGGTCTCGCTATGCTGCTCAGGCTGGTCTCAAACTCCTGGCCTCAAGCGATCCTCCCACCTCAGCCTCCCAGAGTGTCAGGATTACAGGCGTGAGCCACTGTGTCCGGCCCCCAACATCGTTTTGCTTCTCTTCCTAGCATCCGTCTGTCACCCCCTGACCCATCACACCTTAGTTAATTCACAGCCAGTCCTAAGCTGGGAGAGGACAAGGTCCTGTCTGCTAGGCTTCCTTCTGTATCCCGGATACTGATGTCACTACCCAGCCCAGGTTATGTAGCAGACAAATTTGCTAAACTTTATTCTTCTCAGGGCTCCAACTGAGAGACTGACCTGCTGGGACGCACGGGCCCTGCCCAGCTGCAGTCCACTGGACTTACCGAAGTACTTGGAGGTGGTGCCATCCTCCGCGTGCACCACGACAAGTCCAGGACGCAGGACCTGAAGAGTGGGCACGTGGGCCGCCAGGATGCCAAAAGCTCCAGTCAGCGTGGGCACATCCACCTGCCGGACGTTGGCACCGTTGAAGAACACCTGTAAAGAAGAGCAGGGGAACCCCATTACTGCCGGCCAACGCCCCCCCCCACTGCCACCGGGACTCAGTTTCTCCTGCGGTGAAACAGGTCAGGGCAGGATCCCGCGCTTATGGGGGGCTGAGGAGGGGTCTGATGCTTCGGTTTTGACGCTGGGACGGCTGCGCCTCAATTTGCACACCTGGGAAATGGGAACGCTGCGATGCGCATTCACTGGGAGAGCGCACACAGCGGGCCAGCCCGAGGGGCACCCGGGGGCACGGCGGGGGCACATGAAGCCCTGGAGGACTCACATTGGGGTTGAGGGGGGAGGCTCGAGTGTTGGGGTGGGGGCTCGGCTCCGACCCCAGAGAGACAGGGCAGAGGAAGCAGGCCAGGGGGGACGACCGCGGCGGGTCCCGAGCCCCGCGGTGTCGCACCTGCGTGGGGGAGGCGAAGGTGAAGGACATCTGGCCCGGGCCGGCTGCGGGGGTCGGGGCGGCGGCGGCCTCAGCGTAAGCGCGAGCTTGGCGCACGAGGCGGCCCAGGCCCGGGCGGCGGAGCAGTGAGGCGGAAAGCATGGGGGAGGCGGAGGCGGCGGCAGCAGTGGCGGCGGCGGTGGAGGAGGACTCCGGCCAGACGCGGCGGCCTGGAGGGCGAGGAGGACGACGAACGCGCAGGGACGTCTGGGAGCAGGAGTCCCGGCGAGGGCGCACACGCGAACTACGACTCCCGGCGAGCCGCGCGCGACGCTGAAGATGACGCGCCGCCGGGGCGCGGGGCATGCTGGGGGGCATAGTTTCCTTCCGGCCCGGGCTCCGAGAGTGGCCCCTCCATGGGGTCGGGTGAGGGCCCGTGAGACGGTTGGGGGCGGGGCGGGGAGGACCAGTAGCGTGGCGGGAAGAGACAATTGAGCTCCAGTGTCGCTCACGACTTTGGGGGCGTTCATTGGACGCCAGGCGCTGGAGAGACAGCACGGACACATCGAGATTCCTGCTCTGGATTTGGGGAGGAGGGCTTTAGCCGACATGCGACATAAATGAGCAGGTCGTGCAGCGTGTTCGGTGGTGATAAATGCAATAAATAAGTAAACGAGCGTCGAGTAAGGGGGCAGCATGGAGCAGGTGCAGGCGCAGGTGCGCCCGGGAACCGCATCGGGGCGGGGGGCGGAGGGGCCAGCGCAGGCGGGTGTGGAGCGGCGCGGGAGGGCCCCCGGCCGCCGGCAGAGGGCGCCCGGCGCCCGGAGATGCGCTAGCGGTCCCCGGCCCCCTGCCGGCCACCGCCCCCGCGCGCCGCTGACGCATGAGCGCGTGCGCGGGCGGCCCAGGGCTCCGCTGACGTCAGGCGCGGCCCGCGCAGCCTCGTTCGTGGCCATGACGTTACCGCCCCGCCCCCGCGCTCACGCAGGTCCGCGGCCCAGCCGGGCCCCTCTGCGCCGCCCCCTCCCCTCACTCCTTCCCTCCTTGCCGCTCCCTGGAGTCCGGGGAGAAAGCGGAGCCCGGGCTGGCGGGGTTGGGGCGCACACTGGGAAGGGCCTGGAGAGGGGACGCAGAGGGCTGGACTCCAGGGGTGCAGGGAGCAGGGGAGGGTCGCAGTCACACCTGGGCCGGGGGCTGGGTCTGATGGCCCTATGATGCTGCAGCCACGGAGACCCAGAGCCTCCCGTTGTGGGCGAGTCCCACACCTTCCATGGCTTCCCACACCTGGAGGTTGCACCCCGCTCCCTGCCCATGTTCGGGAGTGCACTGCGCATCCTGCCTCGAGGATCTGGGCAGCTGAAGAGGGTCCAGCCAGCCCGAGGCAGGACGGAGGCCAGGGCCTGGCCTGGCTCCTCCCTGGGCCTGCGCTCCTAAGGGCGCTTGGGGTGTCAGTCCTAATGCCCTGGGTATTCTGACCCGGGGTGGGGTGCAGAGGAAAGCCTGCACACTTTCTAGGAGCGTCCTGTGGCACACCGCCAGCCTCTCCTGGACCCCACATCCAGCTGCCACTCCAAGAAGCTGGGAGGCCTAGCGGGCTCCTCAAACTCATCCGTTGCACTACTTCTCTCCAGTCCCCACTCTGGGTTGCCGCTGGAGGGCCCCAAACCTGAGGTTATGCTGGAAGTTCATCTGGCCTGGACCGTCCACTGTGGCCACCCTCTCCTTCCCGGATAGCCCCGGTCTCCTCCCTGCCTTGCCACAGTGTCTTATGCCCGCAGCCAGAGTCTTCTCTTAAAAAAATGAAACCTGTTCTTGCTTCCTCCAACACACGGATCTTCTGCAAACACACGGTTCTATCTCAAGGCCTTTGCCCATGCAGTGCCCGCTAGCCTGGACCCAGCTTCCCTGAGGCGGCCACCCGACGGTCACTTGCCCATTCGTTCTTTCCTGTGTGCTGGCCCTGGGCCGGGCACGGGGACCCACCGTAGAGAAGTTCCTGCCCTTGGAGCTCACAGTGTAGTTGGGACCAGACCACATACAAGAGCGAGTAAAATTCTCAAGGAAAGAAAGTCGGGTAGGGGATGGGAAGTGTGACACACTCCTATGCGTAGCCAAGAGGAGGCGCACAGAGACTCTGACGCTTGGAAAAAGTTGGGGGGGGTCTTTCGGCCAATGGACAGAGAGCCCTCCACGGTGGGCGCCTTGGAGTGCACAGGCCCTGAGGTTGGCTGTGGCTGCGGGGTTCCTCGAGCACTGTCAGCCTTTTCTGGATAAGAAAGAGGTGCCATTGCAGGGTGTTGAACACGGGCCCAGTGGGGCTAGGATGTCTCAGAGGGAGAAGTCGGGTTTGGCTCCTGCTGGTGTACTCTGGACGTCACCCCACGAGGAGCAGGCGTCTGTGGACTCGTTTGGGCACGGGTGACATTCAGCACAGCTTTGAGTGTCTGCTATGGTTTGCTCATTTGCTGTCCCGAAAGGGAAGAGGAGAGGAGACGGGGCTGGCAGAGCGTGCCGAGCCCTTGGCAGTGCCAAGGGGGACCCGCATCGGGGGTGCAGGTGCTGGGCGTGTGCCTGCCCAGGTCTCCTGGCCTGTGTATCTGGGGACCCCCAGATTGAGGGCAGCTGTGCCCCAGAGGGGCCCTGGCTGTGCACCTCCATATCCCACGAGAGAAGCAAGATAGGAAGGGGAACCGGTGTACCCCAGGACTCTCCCGTGGTGGTGCACCTCAGAGCCCCGGGCGAGGAGTAATCGTGCGTCCCAGGACCCTCCCCTCAGCCAGCTGAGTCCCTGGGGACCTGGGTTAGGTGAGTCGTGCGGAGGGGTGGGGGCGGGAACGCGGCCGCCAAAGAGGGGGCCAGCTCAGCGCACGGAGGGGGCGCCGGGGAGCGTAGGCTCCGCCCCCTGCCCCCGCCGGAAGGGAAGGGGAGGCGGAGGCCGGCGCGCAGCGAGCCACAGCCGGCAGCGAGCGCGGCGGGGGCGGCCGGCCAGGGACCGGGCAGCACCGGGAGCACCGGGCGGGCGCGCCGCCAACGCGGTCACGTGCGCGGCCCCTCCTCTCGCGCCGGCCTCCCCCGCGCGCCGCGCTAGCTCCATTCATAAATTCTCCGCCTGCTCCGCGGCCACCGAACGCTGGAGCCAGCCGGGATCGCCGCGCAGCCTCTCGCCCGCCCGCCGCCCATGGGCCGCGCGCCCCGGCGCTGAGGTAGGCAAGGTGGGCCCGGGGCTGCACCGGGGCGGGCGTGGGGTGGGCCGGGGATCGGGGCCAGCTCTGGGGCCCGCCCTAGCTCTGGACCATCGCCCATCCCTGCTCGGATGCGCAGCTGGAGGGAGGGCGCGGAGGAGCCAGGGAGGGCGTGGGGGCGGGCTGCGGAGCTCTGTAGCCCCCGGTCCGACGGGCCGAAGCGGACAGGGACCTCCGTCTACGCCTTTTCTCCGCCTCAGTTTCCCCTGTAACATCGGGCGAGGGGAATGGCGTCTCGGCCTCCTGGCTTAGCCAGGGTTTGAGTGGAGCCTGACGTCGGGTTCTCTCCCTGCCCTCGGGCCGGCTGGGGGTCGCGGGGCTGCCCCCTGGGGAACCTCCGCCCGCGGCTCCCGCACTGGCCTCCCCACTACCCCCATAGCCCACCTCTCTTCCCCTCGGCCTCCTGCCATCTTTCCCGGTCTGCTGCCACCGTCCTGCGCCTCTGCCCCACCCCCTCCAGCCTGAACTCATTTTCCGACCTACATATGCGCCCCCTTTCCCCAGTACTGGGGAGCCCCGGCCAGCCTCTGACCCGGAGACCTGAGGACACCTGGCCAGGGTTAGGACCCTCCCCTTCTCTGGGTCTCTGTTTCCCCGATCTTGAGTGGCAGTTAAAGCCCATAAGGGACTTAGGAGGCTGGAGGCTGTGCGCTCCTCTTCCTCTGGAAAAGGACCTCGCGCTGCCTGGGCCATGCCAACTCGGGGCTGCTGGGCCTCCCAGGCGGTTCCCCGGGACGCCGGGGTCCTTCCCGCTTCGCTGGCGGTGGGACAGGTGCAATTTCCAGGCAGCCCCTTCCCCGAGTGCTGAGCGCCCCTCCCCGGCCTCAGTTTCCCCCGCGCGTAAGGCCGGCCAGCCGGGCCTGGGCGAGGCTGCCGGGCGCCCGGGTTTGGGCACCGCGGAGAGGGCGCAGCGGCCATCTTGCCGCCCGGGCCGCCGCGGGCCGCCCCTGCAGGAGGCCTCCCTCCCCCGCGCCCCCTACCCGCCCCTGCTCCCTGGCAACCCGCCCCCCCCCAGCCTCGGCCTGCTGGCTCGGTCGCCATGGGAACCAGATTCTTCAGGGCTGGGAACAGATGCGCCGCCTTTGTCCTTTTCGCTCCCGCTGGCGCTAGGCAGAGGGGACCTGTACCTCCTGGAGTCGGGACCCCGTCACCGCGCTCAGCCCCCGCCCGCCTCTGTGGGCGAACAGCCCTGGGGGGGGTCTCCCTTCACCCCGTTTATGACTGGGGTCCTGACAGGGGGTAACTAGAATCTCTTGGGGCTGGGGCAGCCCATGTCCCCCTGATGGGGACCACGGGGCACCTGGGGTCTGGCCTGAGCCAGCTGCACGGCCTCAGTTTCCTCATTCTTCCAGTGGGTGCTTCCCCTTTCCTGGGCAGAGCTCCCGGCCTGGTGCTACCTGGCCTGGTGCTACCTGCCGGGCAGGCCCCACCTGCTGCAGAGGCAGCTGTGATAGGCACACCCGCGCATAGAGCACCACCTCCCCCATTTTTAGGTGGGGGGAACAGAGCTTGAGAGAAGGCTCCTGCCCCTGGCTCGCCCGGACCTGATCTGAGCAGGGTGGGGGCTGCTCCTGGGCTCTCCCCAGCTTTTAGTGAGTCACTGCTGTGTGGGCTCCTGCTCCCGGCAGGGGAGGGGGGCTCACTGCAGTGGCTCCTGCGGGGAGGGGCCGGCAGTGCTGGAGCTGAGCAGACCCTGTCCCTCCAGGCTCCTCCACGCCATCTCAGAATGCAGCCCACAGCCACCATGGCCACAGCTGATGCCACCACTGCCACGGTGGCCCTGACAACGTCGTGGGACAACACCACTGGCCGTCCCACGGTGGGTGAGGGAGGCAGGATGAGGGTGGGGTGGATGGGATGTCAGAGTCCAGGCCAGCAGAGACCTGACCCACCCAGTGTGGTCCGCAGGCCGAGCCCGACCCCATCCTGGACAACTACGTGCTGCTGGTGGTGGTGATGTCGCTGTTCGTGGGTGGCACACTGGTGGTACTGTCCGGGGTCCTGCTCCTCTGCAAACGCTGCTGGGAGGTGCACCAGCGCTTCAACAGGTGCGAGCCCCACCCCGGTTCTGGGCAGGTGCACAGGGGGTGCACATGGGCACCAGCTGGGTGATGCGGGGGCCCCGCGGCTCTAAGCCACGGGGTGCACAGCGCGTCCAAGCAGAGGCCTCTGATGACAGGGTCCCCACAAGCAGGTGCATGGGATATGGCTCCAGGACACCTGGACCTTGGAGGCTGCCTGGGCCCTGTCCCATAGGCCTTTCCTGCTGTCCCTCCCAGAGCCATGGAGGAAGCTGAGAAGACCACTACCACCTACCTGGACAATGGCACCCACCCGGCCCAAGGTGAGGCACCTGGCCCTGCCACCCTGCTGGTCCATCCACCTGCCTATCCGCCCCTCGGCCACCCGCCTGCCCCCTCAGGCCACCTGACCGTCTGTGTCTGTCTGTCTCCCCCACCAGACTGGGCGCAGCTCGATTCCGACTCATCTCTGTTTCCTTAACGCCCAGGCGTAGGTGCGCACAGGCGCGTGCTGAGCGAGTGAGTGTGTGAGCGGATGAGCGAGTGCCCGCCCGCCCCGCCGCCCCGGCCCACCCCTCGGTCAGTTGGGCCCCTCCCCTTCCCCTCCCGCCCTCCAGCAGCTTGCCTGGGCCAGGCGCAGCCCACCCGGGGCCCACCCTCTCCTGCCTCTCCACGCAGACCCTGACTTCAGGGGGGAGGACCCCGAGGGCCAGGATGCAGAGACGGAGCGCTTCCTGTCCACCAGCTCCACCGGCCGCCGGGTCTCCTTCAACGAGGCGGCCCTGTTTGAACAGAGCCACAAGGCGCAGGACAAGGGCCGCCGGTGAGGGGTGTGGCAGGGGCCTGGGGTCCATGGGAGGGCATCGCTTGTCTGGGCGACATTTCCTGTGGTGGAGCCCAGGGCAGAAAGCAGGCGGGGGCTGGGGACATCCAGCACATAGGAGGTGGGGCCGAGGCCAGGGGCCAGGGGCGAGCTGACTGGCCGGGCTCCCCGCAGGTACACCCTGACAGAGGGGGACTTCCACCACCTGAAGAACGCCCGCCTCACCCACCTGCACCTGCCGCCCCTCAAGATCGTCACCATCCACGAATGTGACTCGGGCGAGGCCAGCTCGACTGCCACCCCCCACCCACCCGACACCCCCAAGGCCAGCCTCGCCATCTTCCAGGTGAGCTGGGGGGACAGCAGCCAGCTGGGGCCTCAGAGGGGGGGGTGGCCCCAGGGCTCTCTGGACCCCCGCTGTGGGCTGGGCCCCTTGTCTTAGGATGGGCAGGGAGCCTGGCTGGGGTGGCCGGGGACGGGAGGCCGAGCCCAGCACTCGTCTCACCCACCCATGCTCTTTGACCTGTCACTGCTTCCTCCCCCACCGGCTCTGTCCCACAGCCCCCGGGGAAGGCCCTCACTGGCCGCTCCGTGGGCCCCAGCTCCGCCCTGCCAGGTGACCCCTACAACTCAGCAGCGGGTGCCGCCGACTTCGCGGAGATCAGTCCGTCTGCATCTAGTGACTCTGGGGAAGGCACCTCGGTGAGGGGCCCACGCATGTCCCCCAGGGCATCGGGGCAATGGCGGGCTCCTTCCCCTCCCTGCCTGCACTTGGCCTGGCACCTGCCCAGGCCATCCTTGCCCTGCCTGGTCTCCCACACATGGGAGGAAGAGGGAGCAGGCGTGTGCTCACACATGCGTGAGGCACCCCAGAGCCCCTACCTCCAGCCCAAGCCACAGACGAGAGCACCTAGACACTCGCCCTGGAAAACCCCCTCTCCCCGCAAACCCTGTGTCCAGGGTCCTTCCCGGGACAGCAGAGCCAGCCTGCACCGGCTGAACACCCTGGGGAGCCTCTAAGAGGCAGGAGGGTCTGGGGGGAGCCCACCCACGCAGAGTGCCTGCCCCTGCTGCCTCTGCCCTCTTTGAGCAGGTCCACATCTGTCCACGTGGTGGGTGGAGGCCTTGGTGTCTGATGGGTCTGGGTGCCTGAGAGCTGTTCTTGTTCCCTCCCAGTTGGATGCAGGTACCAGGAGCACCAAGGCTGGTGGCCCCGGGGCTGCCATGGGTCCTGGGGAGGCAGGCTCGGGGGCGGGCACTGTGCTACAGTTCTTCACCCGTCTGCGCCGCCATGCCAGCCTGGATGGGGCCAGCCCCTACTTCAAGGTCAAGAAATGGAAGCTGGAGCCCACCCAGCGGGCGGCCAGTCTGGACACCAGAGGTGAGCTGTGGCCCCGAGCAGGCAGCGGGCTCAGCACGGGGTACCAGGTGCTGCCTTGGGGCAGGGCTAGTGCTGTGGGGACCCAGTGCCTGCCCTGAGCTGGCCAGCGGCTCTGTTGGTGGGTGTCTTGCCCAAGGTACCACAGCAGGTCAGGAGGACGACCCAGGCCATGCCCTGTGCCCCAGCTTGCCCGGGAAGGGCTGTCAGGGACAGCCTGAGGCAGATCCACCCAGCTCTGAGGCCCCTGTGCTGGGGGGTGTCCCACGGGTCCCGGCCGCTATCTGTATTCAGGGCACAACAGGGCGGTAAAGGAGGAAACTGAGGCTGTCAGGTCACTGTGGAGTTGGGAGGGCTGGCCAGCCGGCCTGTATCCCCTCCCGGGTCATGGCCCCTGGCCCCTGTCCACAGGCACGACTCTCACCCTGACACATCGGGATGTGAGAGGTGGGGTCTCCCTGGGCTGGCTGGTGGGAGGCTCACTCTACCTGTGGGGTAACCTTGGGCAGTCTTTCTGCCTGTGTGGGCTTTGGCTTCCCCTGACATGAAGCGGTAGGGCCAAGGTAGGCCAGGGGTCAGCGGAGGTTTTCCATAAGGCCCCAGGTGGTAATGTTTTTGCTCTCATGGTCAGACAGGCACTGTCTCAACTGTTCAGTGCCGCTGCTGCAGGGCGGAAGCAGCCGTAGACCGTATGGTGATGAATGAACTTGACCAAATGCCAATAAAACTTTATTTACAAAAACAAGTGGCCTGTCTGTGGGCTATAGTGTGAAGACCCCTGGAGTAGTTGACAGTGGCCCTTCAATTTTGCAGGCCCCTGGTTGCGTGTGGCCCTGGGAGTCCCAGGCCCAAGGTGGGAATGTGTGTGTGGTGGGGAGGCGGCCCCAACCCAGAAAGTGCAGGAACAGCCATCCGGCCGGAGGGAGCTCTGCAGGGCAGCCACAGCTCCGAGGGCCTGGGGCTAGGTCAGGCTGCTGGGGCACCCGCTTCCCTGTGGCACAGGTGGCAGATCCTGTTTGGCTGCTCTGCTCTAGCTGAGAGGACATAAATCGTGGGATGAAGGGGGCCAGGATTCCTGATGGTGACTGTAGTCAGATGTGGTTACAGCGGTGCCCAGAACCTGTTTGCTGGGTAACTGCCCTCACCACCCAGGCCTGCCTGCTGAAGCCTCTCCAGGGGAAGGTCCTGGCCCCTGGCCAGGGGGCCTTGGGCAGGGGCGGGGCAACCCCTTGCACTCCCTGGGCCAGGGTGGAGCTGGCAGAAGAGGGCATCTGTCTCCCTCACCTCACTGGTCCCCACCAGCCTGTCCCAACTCTCTCACGCCTGCCAGCTTCCGTACTTTGAGCTGGGCTGTGCCTGCCACCGGCTGTCCAGGGAAGGTCCTCCCAGTGGGCTGTATGTTTGGCCAGGGATGCCCTGGGGCACTGCCAAGTGAGGCTATCTCTCCAGCCTGCCCTGGCTTTCCCGGGCTCTCTGGTCCCAGCCCTTCTGCTTCTTCTTGGTGCCCACTCCCCTGTGTGTGTGTGTGTGTGTGTGGTGGGGCAGACACAGGCTGTGTGTGTGTGTGTGTGTGGTGGGGCAGACACAGG